TAAGTTGTTTGGTAAATGTTAGTAAGGGAGAGAGATCAAGATACGATGCTTGGAACAAAAATTGTTTTCCCACATTTCTGTTGCTCTGTAACCTAAATTTCTCAGGATGAAAATAACTCTTTGAAATTAGAAAATGATGATCTGGGGTTAGAAAATGACTGGCATAATGCGTGATCCGTATGAAGTCCATAGTTAAAACACAGGGTGAAAAAAAAAAAAGGAAATAAGGAGTAGAAGGTATCATTAGATCCTGCTGAGTGGGAAGAAGGACGAATTGGGATGGAGGGGCTGTGAAGAGCAGGCATGGGGGAACCGGAGCCAAGGGGCTCCTAAGAAGAGGACATCAGGTGGAAAGAGAAGACCAGGCACCAGGGTGCAGCAGGAAACAGGCAGCTAAAGATTCAGGCTTTGGAGAAAGCCTGTGACTGGCTTTCTTCCTGTGTTCTGTCTTACTAGCATCACACGCAAAGCTGTTTGATTCTGTGTTTTTTAAAAATAGTGTCTAGAAAATAAATGAGTATGTAAGTAAATAAAAATAGTGTCTGGAGAGAGGTGGACAGTGGGAGTCACTGAATCTAAATGAAATGACTAAGACAAGAAACTGCACCTTCTGGGATATTTTGCATTCTGTCAGACATTGTCCTTTCTTTTTTACATTTTACATTTGTATTTTTATTTCCAACCTGTATTCATTCTTCAAAATTTTTATTGAGCTATATAATTCACGTGCCACAAAATTTACCCTTTTAACGTGTGTGATTACATGGTTTCTTTCATCAATATCTAAGTTTAGAACATGTCATATTCTCAAAAGAAATCCGATACCTATTAACAGTCACTCCATTCCTACTTTAATTTCTGACAATCATTCATCCATCTTCTGTCTCTATAGTTTTGCCTATTTCTAATACACAGAATGGAACAATATTTGGACTCTTGTGTCTGGCTCTTTTCACTTAGCATAATGATTTTGAAAACCATCTGTATTGTAGTATGTATTAGTATTCATGTTTAGTGCTGAATAATATTCTGCTATGTGTATAGGTCACATTTTGTTTACATACTGACCAACTGATGGACATTTGGGTTGCTTCCAATTTCTGCCATTATGAAAAATGCTGGGGCCGGTGCTGAGGCATGGCGGGTGAGGCCACTGCCTGCAGTGCTGGCATCCCATATGGGTACTGGTTCAAGTCCCGGCTGCTCCACTTCCAATCCAGCTCTCTGCTATGGCCTAAGAAAGCAGTGGAAGATGGCCCAAGTCCTTGGGCCCCTGCCCCCAAGTGAGAGACCCGCAAGAAGCTCCTGGCTCCTGGCTTCAGATCAGCTCCAGCCATCGCAGCCAATTGGAGAGTGAACCAGTGGATGGAAATTCTCTCTCTGCCTCTCCTTCTCTCTCTGTGTAACTCTGACTTTAAAATAAATTAATTAATCTTTTTTAAAAAAAGCTTTAAAAAAAGCTACTATGGACATTTCTGTACAAATCTTTGTGTGGACATATGTTCTCATTGCTGGATCAGAAGAAGATGTGCTCGACATTTTATATATAAGTATACTCTATGCTCAACATTTTGAGAAACTGCCTAACTGTCGTCCAATGTGTGCAAGCCATTCTTGAGGTATGAAAACTAACTTTTAAGCCAACATATTCCATTTTCTGAGGGACAGTGAAATAGCTGAAAGGAAAAAACCAATAAAGCCAAGACAAAAATCTCAAAAGACCTAAAAATCAGTTTGGAACAGAACCATGGACACAACACTGGAGTGTGTTGGAATTTAGTGATTCAAAACTCTCTTGAGTAGCACCAGGTAAACCCCAAGATGAGTCTAATGTTTCTGGCTCAGTGATCAGCATTTTGGCCTACTTCTAATTACCTTGGCCTTTGCTTGTGTGTTGGTGCTTGGACTGACACCCCACAGTACAGTGAATTAAGCGTTGGGGACAGCCAGCTTTCAAAACATTTTTACTTTGAGGAGTTTTGATGTGATACATCAAAATATTTTGGAGATGAATATATGAACTTAGTAGTTAATTTTATTACTGAAATGTTTATCAGACTTCCCTAAATTGCTTGAGAGTAGATATTATATCATGCTTACTGTTATATCCCCAAGTGCTTAATCATAGAGTGGCAACAATGTTTGTTGGATTGAAACCAAATTTCATTTACTTAATATTCTAGGTATTAATTTTTAATTTGCTATATAAAAACTAAAAGTAATAGTCTATGCAAGCAAAACTCTACATGTGAAACCAATTTGTAGGTATGTGTGTGAAAGTATATGTGAATACATTACTTGTGAATGTGCAGTTTTAACTGCGTTTATGAAAGAACTACAAGCGATAAGCATTTTGGAAAATACATGGTGAGTATTTTATGTTTCTACCAGTCTCTTTCCCTAGAGTATAAACCTAACATTCTCTTTTTACAACATTCTAACAGAAATCCACATTTTTGCACACAGGTGTCATTCTTCTTTTTAAAGAATTTACAATTCGTATTCTCATTCTGGGATTCAGTGGTCCTATGCTAAGCTTGGACAGAAAAACATGCTCAGGCCGGTGCTGTGGTACAGCGGGTTAAAGCCCTGGCCTGAAGTGCTGGCATCCCATATGGGCACGGGTTCTAGTCCCAGCGGCTCCTCTTCCGATCCAGCTCTCTGCTATGGCCTGGGAAAGCAGTAGAAGATGGCCCAAGTCCTTGGGCCCCTTTACTAGCATGGGAGACCCAGAAGAAGCTCCTGGCTCCTGGCTTCAGACGGGTGCAGCTCCAGCCGTCACGGGCAACTGGGGAGTGAACCAGCAGATGGAAGACCTCTCTCTGTCTCTACCTCTCTCTGTAACTCTGTCTTTCAAATAAATAAAATAAATCTTTAAAATAAAAAACATGTTCATTATCTACTTGAAGTAAAGGCAGTCTACCTCTTAAAAAGGCATATCACATAGAGTGACTAATATAGGGTATTGATTATATAAAAATTCAATGCTATCAACATCTGATTGTTACTTTTCATCAATACTTTCTTTAAAGCAAGTAGTTTAATTTTTAAATGTGAGCTAGAGGCAATTTTTTTAATGTTAATAATACAACAATTTCATATCTTGGCTATGAGAAGACGCTCAGTAAGTTATCAGAGTTCTTGTAACACACATATGTTCCTCTCCGGTCGGTGAAAATCACAATGCCCAGTAGATTTCCTTCATCAAGACAAAGCAAAATATATTTCAAGGATTAGATTTAAGTTCTAGGGAAATGATCATGTCAAAATTAAATCAACCTGAATGGATAAAATTTGTAAAACTGCTTAAACAGAAATATTGTAAAAGAATTAAAGTATATCTAGACCTTGGCTCATGTTTCAGACTAACATAGCTATCTATGTATGTTTTACACGAACAAAAACCAGAGGCAGTGCTTGGTGTAAAATGTTCTGTAATCATGGTTGAAATTAGCAATTTAAATTTGCTGAATGAGGTTACAGTGCAATATCTAACACACAAATCAGAGAGATTTGAGTCCTTGCATCCTTGTTCAAAAATGTATCAAAAGGCCACAGGTTAACAATAATGAATGTATGCTACACTATTACTATTAAAATATGCAATCTTTGATAATAATTTATTTGTTTTACAAATGTATTGGGGGGTTAACATTTTTCAATTCATCTGTGACAAACCATGAAATTCAATATTGATCACCATGACCAATCCATGAAATTTGTCGACTTTGTTCCTGATTTTCACAGAGCCTTCCTCTTAGATGAAATGACCCATTGAATGGAGAGCATAGCAATTTTTTCATCTACGGTAAATCAGTTTAGTTTACTAGGATTTATTATGGGTTTCAAACTAGAGCTTTTTATGATTAGAGACCATTATATAGATAATATCAACCTTACGGCGATTTATCTCACTGTTTCTTCCTCCTTCTGAAAGCATTTTTCCATGTCTAAAATGAGTTCTTATTTTGGGTTACCACATGGAACAGTCTTTACACAATGTGTTTTTTGAAAGTCAAAAAGTAGGTAAAAATTATTATAAAATTAAAATCACAGTAATTAATTACTCATACAATATCTAACACAAAAGTCTCAAAATTTATTGAAAATCAAGATTTATTTATCACTATCACCAAAATATTATAGAAAAAAATCCTTTACTTAATTTCTCCCAAGGAACAGAAATATTCTGTAACATTTTTACTATCCAAGAAACTAAGATATATAACTATTTACTATTGCAAGATAAAAATGATAATTTTGGAAGATGATTTAAACAAAGATACTAATATTTTATTATGAGTCTATCCTAACTTCATGTTATACCATAGATCTGAATCAAATTAACCAGGAACAAAAATTCCACATTTTTAGATTTTTCTAAATCTTACTTGTTTATCTAAGTAAAATATTTCAACATTTTTCTTACTGTAATTGTGTGTTTCTATATCCATTTGTTATTACAACCTGCGACACTAAAGCCTCATGTTAAAAAAGTTTATCTATGGCAGATTAACTGAAAGTGTAGAAATACTAGGTCTCTTCCAGATTTGGGAACACTACAGAACAATTCTTTAAAATTTCTTTTTTATTAGAGAAAATAATGTTATATAAAATTAAAAACTAAAACCTGAATTTTTAAATAGCAAGAAGCAAGTAGGTATAATTTTTTTTGTCATAGAGTAACAAGCAGTGACAGCCAAATTACTCATACTATTTGATCATTTAAACAACTGAAATAGTGAAGCTCCAATTGTTCCTGTTTCTACAGGAGATTTATCAACAGCATAGGATTGTCCAATATAGAATAATATATTTTGGTGGGCCTAAAGTGCTTTGGTTGGGGTTAGTTTAATAAAATTATCCAGTTTACAATATAAAAAAAACCTTCAAAAATTTCTGCTTGCCACTTTACACAATAAGTGGTATGAAAATGACTTTGTTAAATCACATTATCATAATATCATAATAGCTAAAAATAAAATATATGTGATACTTACTTATACAATTCTGTTAATGGTGAAGTCAAAATGACTAATGTTGTGAGCAGATTGTTACAGTAGGTATGAATTTTGAAAATTTTATTGTCTCTATACTCATGAGGATTCAAAAGCTGCTGTCCAGATGAACAAATTGACCATAACATGTTTTCAGTGCAAATTAAAATTGTTGTGACATCGAGTCTATGGGAAAGAAAAACAAATCACATTAAGCAAAATAATCGCTCTGCTCTCGTCAGTCTCTCTTGTGCTAAGCACATGTGAAAACAGAAAGATTTGGTTAGATATCCGAGCTTCAGAGATCAACAACAGAGAGCACCAAGGAGATCTTTTTGAGTAGCTGACCCTTACTGCCATTACCTATAGAGACGCTAAAATCTATAATAATGTCTTAGGAGTATTTTTTTTTAAGTAAGTTTATTTTGCATCATCAGGATTATGTTCAAGAAGTCCAAGAGACTGTTGTCACAATTACACTGAGCACAGTAAAAGTTAGATGCGAAGCTAGATGTGCCACTTGTTATTCTCCACATAGAAAAGGTAGGTAAAAATGATAGCAGAACCATTTTCCTTCCCCATGTGTTAAGTTGTCAAAAGAACGTTACCTGATTGGGTATCATGTCATCCCAGCAAGCGGGAAATGAGAAGAAAAGCACAAATGGAGAAGGTTCAGAAATTTCTAATATTAAGTAACTTTTTGGAAAACATTGTGCATTAAATCTCTGATTCATACGCTTGTCTATTGTCATTTTAATCTTGAGTTTTAATAAGGACTCAAAGATCTGTGTTAAGATTATTTTGATGTGACAAATTGAACAGATCTAAGTTAACTTCCTCTTTTAAATCGAGTTGAAGAAACAGAACGTGAAAAGTTTAAAAGAATAAGGAGAAAAGTAAGCTAGCTTTGGCCTTAAATTTACTGTAAGTAATAGATTTTTATATATTGATTATATAACATTTATTACATATAAATCATATATATGATTTTGTTCACATGACCGTTGGAGGCTATTGGAAAACTCAAGGCATTGATAATCACCCTTAGAGAGGTTTTATATTAGCTTATATATACTTTCTCTAATTGCTAAACTATTACTAATTCAAACTAAGTCTGCACACACACACTACATATGGTCAATCTGACTTCCACAATAATAGTGGTTTAGCATTAACTATTCAAATAAAAATATTTATATATTTTACTTATACAAACTTAGAAGCAGTAATTCTAGCTTTGCATGGTATTTTTATGCAACTATTCAGAAACAAAAACCAAAAGTCTCAATGGTACAGTTAATTAATTAAATATACTACCTATTTCATGTGCTAATAGTAAATCTAATTTCATAAATATCTCATAATGACTTGGCACCTCATAGTCAAAAGTGATTTATGCTACATAAAGAGAAGAATGAAGGTGCTCTTTGCTCTCAGAAGGAATTTTCCATGTATCCTTCAGAGTTCAATTTTTTAAAAGAAAGCTTGGTCAGTAATTCAAAACAGCCTGTGCAAAATACCATACTTATGAAACACTGTAGCAGGACCTGAACACCCTTCAAATTGCAGCATGCTTTACAAGAACATGATCAGGAAATGATTCCTCTTGCCCAGAAAAATAAAGGCCTCTGATGTCTGAAGTTTCCTCTTAAAAACATATCTGAGAAAGGATTTTTTATACCTAAAAGATAGGTCTTAATCACACCAGAGAGAATATTTATAAAACAAAAGGCCTCTGCATTTAGATTATTGCTGTCATGTAATCAAACTTGTGTAATATTAATTGTCTAGATTCTTCAAAGAATCGTATGATAATTCAGTCTTTGACTTAATACCCTGTGTCTGTTGCTCCACATTTTCTGTGATTTCATTCTGTTGAACTGGCTTTTGGTAATGCAGAGTAAAAAGAAAAGAAAAAAATAAACAAAAGAGGAAAGAAGGAATTAGAATACATTAAAAAGAAAATGATTAGACAAAGTAGTTTCCTTAATGAAGATAAACTACTATTTAAAGAATTAAAAAAAAAAAAAAGCCTAAACTAAAATCCCCTTGCGTGACAGCGCTGCTGTTTTTTTCTCCATTCCAGGGCCTTAATTTTCCATCTTTATCTTACTAACCTGTGTGTATATATGCACTAGCTTACAAGACATCTTGAATCATTTCTTAGAAACAAGTGGGTTCTACAGACAATTTTCAGAAGAAAAAAAGAGCAAAAGTTATTTTGATTCCAGTTCCACAGTTTCCACTTAAATGCCTCAGGAGAATTGAATCTGATTTCCTTTCAGGTGTTAGAGACATGTGAAATACACAAGGAGTTGTCAAGAGACTTGGAATTCCATGCTGCTTTATACCAACTGATGACAAAGTTGTCTTGAAAAAGCAATGGTTTTCAGAACTTCAGTTACCTTATCTGTGGAGTTCTCTTACAACTGGGACGGGCCCGGGAATATCTGGAGGCCAGCAGACCCAAAGATTTCTCCAGCACTTCTGCTAGGATCTCCTGGGCTAACGTAGGGGGCAGGATGGTCCAGAGATCGTGATGAAGAGCCCAGCAGAAATAATGCCACATCTGGAGCGCGAAGGAGCATCTTTCCCCCTGGCAAAACCACCATGCATTAAACAGCGGGAATCACATCTTCCAACATGTCAGTTCACTTCCTAGGAACCTAATTAGTTCAGGCTGGAAGGAAATAGCTGCAGAGTCTGACACACTAGATGACCAAGAAAGATTTTTGACAAGATGTAAAACATCCTTATTGACAAAGGAACATATGTTTTATTTCAATTACGAGACCAGATATCCTAGTGCAAATCCGGACCACAAGAATTTAAACTAGCAATCCCTGATTTACCTACTCCTGGCTTGGGGTTGAAAATTCACTTTTAAAAAATAAATTGGCTTTGTAGTTGGTAAACAAGTTATGTCAGCTATTTTAAGATAGTGAATTGATTTCTCTAAAATTAAAATCTTTAAATTGTTCAAATGGGTATACTTTTTCTGAGGCTATTAGCATCACGGAGATAATTTTACAAATGTTTCAGATTTTGGATTATAATGAAATGACAGGGGTAAAAATAAACTTGCATACTATATCCCTACTCATATTTATGAAACCAAGGGTTTGCGTAACTACTGAAGATGACCATAATAATTAAGCTAAGATTGGCCGGCGCTGCGGCTCACTAGGCTAATCCTCCGCCTGCGGCGCCAGCACCCCGGATTCTAGTCCTGGTCGGGGCGCCGGAATCTGTCCCAGTTGCTCCTCTTCCAGTCCAGCTCTCTGCTGTGGCCTGGGAGTGCAGTGAAGGATGGCCCAAGTCCTTGGACTCTGCACCCGCATGGGAGACCAGGAGGAAGCACCTGGCTCCTGGCTTCAGATAGGTGCAGCGCAGCAGCCGCAACGCACCGGCTACAGCGGCCACTTGGGGGGTGAGCCAACAGAAGGAAGACCTTTCTCTCTGTCTCTCTCTCACTGTCTAACTCTGCCTGTCAAAAAAAAAAATAAGCTAAGATGATTCAACTTCATCTGTTGTGTTTTGATAACACTGGACTAGCAACAGATCCTTCAATAGCCTGATTTTTCAAGATTTTGTAAAGTTTAGGCAGCACACTGTCATTTCTGAGTACTTGTACAGCACTTCTTACTTCCAAGGGGCCAGAATCTCATTCTTTCCCACTCTTCCACACATCTCTTCTGTGTTCTGAGTTTTCCCTGATATAAATTCAGATCCAGCAGTGGTCAAGGCCAAGGGGAACACACAGAATGGGGAAGGTAACGTCAAGCGATTTACAAGTATTAATTAGGTAACATGCTCTTTGGGGAGGTATGCTAGTAGCTTGACCTCAATTTCTTCAAACCAGATCCAAACATTATTTGAAATAGGCAGAACAGAACGCATTCTTCACACATTATCCTGATTATGTTAATATGCCAAAAGTTTATTTCCTAGTAAATTTCCTCTTTTATCTCTAAGTAATTCTCTTTGACTTAAAATTTCTGCTTTGTCCATGATTTACATTTCTCAAACAAATGTCATCCTAAAACAAAAATCTCCTGTTCTCTTACATTAAAAGTTGACAATTTCTTTTCAGTATTTTTTACATATAATTGTCCTGATAGTTCTTTGATAACTAAAGTGTTTTGCGATCACTATCATAATAATACTTCATGGTTTCTAATGGCATTTATTAATGAGGATTATTATTCTGTAGGTAGAAAACTTGAACATCAAAATGTCAGTGTCAATTTCCAACAGGAGAATTCTTTGACCACTGGCTTCTGACTTCCCAAACAAATGTTTATCTAAACTGTTTAAGAAAAAAAAAAAATACTGGGATGAGTATTTAGGCTAGTGGTTAAGCAGCCAGTTTAGATGCCTATATCCTATATCAGAGTACCTGGGTTCAATTCACAGCTCCTAACTTTAGCTTAGTGCTAATGCAGATCTAAGAGGCAGCAGAGATGGGTAAGGTAATTGGATTCCTGCCACCCATGAGGGTACCTGGATTGAGCTTCTGGCTTCTGGCTTCTGGTCCTGGCCCAGACATTGTGGGCATGGAGGGGATGAATCAGTGGATAGGATCTCTCTCTGACTCTCAAAAAATAAATAAAAAAGAAGAACAGGGGCAGGTGCTGTGGCATAGTGGGTAAAGTCACCATCTGCAACATCGCCAGTCTTATATGGGCATATGTTCAATTCTCAGCTGCTCCATTTCTGATCCAGCTCCCTGCAAATACGCCTGGGAAAGCAGTGGAAGATGGCCCAAGTTCTTGAGTCCCTGAGCCCATTTAGGAGATGGGAAGAAGCTCTAGGCTCATGGCTTCTGCCTGACCCAGACTTGGCTATTGTAGCCATTTGGGGAGTGACCAGGAGATGGAAGATTTCTATTTCTCCCTTTCTCTCTGTAATTCTGGCTTTCAAATAAACAAATAAATCTTTAAAAAAAAGAAAAATACAACAGAAAAATACAAAAGTAATGATGAAACAACACAATTAATTTTTAATACTTTCTTTGTTAAATATTCTATGGTAAAGAATACATTTTAAACCAAGAAACAAGTTTTAAAGCTTGATTCTCTCATACTTTTTAGTTTGCATCTAAATTAAAGCAAGACTGATCTCAGCTGATATAAGAAATAATGAATGATTTATACTAACGTTCCCAATAGCAATGGATGGATTCTAAATAACAGGATCAACATGACTTTTCATAATTTTTTAAAAATATGAAAAACCAATTCCCTTAATAGCTACCTTTTAGCAATAATGAGAAAATAAAAATAGCTTAAGGTACACATATTTCTTCTCCTAAAAGTAAAAAAAAAAGTACTCATTTTAAAAAACTTCTTAAAATACACACTTCATGTCTACTTAAAAGTATTTCTATCTGGTCTTTGTTTTAACCGTTCTCTTTACAATGCATATAGTATCAATGTGTGCAAGGCTTTTCATTTAGTTTTTTGACCTGTTTCCCCATTTGTTGTCATTTCAAAAGTATTCTGCTAGTAAACATGTGCTATTTTTGCAGACCCACTATAATGTAAACAGATGTGAGCTTTTATTTAGATTATATATCAGGAAATAGGCAGCTGGGCTTTATTTTAGAAGCCACTCAATATTATCTTTGAACAGACAATTCTTTATTCTTTGACAATTGGAAAACACAGGTTCCTAAAATTGAGCATATGTCAGCTACACTAAAAGCTTAATTTTAAAGACGTAATGTGAAAACCCACTGTGCCATCTGACCAGCACCTCATCAGAGAAATACTAAACTCTCTGGCTCTTTTAACCTGATAGTTTAGAAAATGGAATAATGTATCCAGTGCTCACTTGCTATCATGAAACATGAGCAAATATTGCTCCATATCTTGCAAATTTGTTTACTCTCTCTTTATGACTTGCTGCACATAGCAACAGGTTCCCCTAAGATCTCTCTCCCACCCTTGGGTATCTCCTGTTGGGCAGATATCATCTCCAATCCTCTCAAAACAAGCTTGCCAAAAACAGACTACTTCTGTTTCAGAAAAGCAGTTGTAATAATGGGGAGAGAGGGGGGTGAGAAGCAGAAAGCAAGATAAAACCATGTCAGGTACTTCAGTTGTCAAAACAGCTTAAAATTTGTGCTATTTTTAGAAGGTTCTTACTCTTGGTAAATAGAAAAGCAGCATCACTTTATTTTTCTGAGCATAAATAACCACTGTTAACTCTGCAATTAAATTGTAAGCACTGACCATGTAAGTATATGGAAGCTACAGTACCATGTAATCACAGGGTAACTATCTCCTTATTTCTGTCTTTGACACTAAAGCCTTGTCATAAGATCTAAGAGTTGCATGTTACATGGTAATTTGGCTTTTTAAAAAAATACTTGGTAACTTCAATAACAGGTTCTTAATGCATCCACTTATTATTTATATTGTACAACTATTCTAGCTCCCAATTTGCATAACAGGAAACATCACACCCTGGTGTTGAGCATATCATGAGTTGATACCTGTTCTGTGCTGAAAACATGATATAAAATTGTTCATTAGTATACGGACACGTTGAAAGAGTTGGGACCATGAGATGGACTCATTTTCAGCCTCTCTGTGTACCTCCAGGCAAGTAAGGAAGCTGCAATGCTGCCAGGAGAGGGGAGGCCTGAGCTCTCCTTATCTCAGGCCAGCAGCTGCACCACACCACTTTCTCTCTCTCCTCCCGCTCACTGCTACCACTAGTGTTTGAAGGAGGTCAGGTTTGGAAAACTCTGTATGCATGCTCTTGCAGAAAGAAAAACTGCCTGGGAAGGGCCTCTAAAGGAGAGATGAAATGTCCTTAGAGAAAGAGCAAAGTCCTTCAAAAAGAGCTGCTTCTGAGCTGTCCCTCTCTGTTGTGGCAACATTTATTATGATAAGAACCCAGGCATCCGCAGAGCCGCAGGAACCTTCAGTCCTGGGAAAGTGACAAGAAGGACTCTGCTGAATAAAAGTTCACTCTGTTTCCCTCAATGCGCCACAGTGATCAGGACAACCCCCACACACACCAAAAAAAAAAAAAAAAAAAGTGCCCCCAAATGATACATTTCAATCAGAGAAAAAAGTGGAAAAGCTAAAGAAGCTGAGCTTGCTTGCTGAGTGTTTTTTTTTTTTTTAACCCAATTCTCTTTTATTAATTTGTTGTAAATGCTTTCCCCTTCCCTAGCATCAACTTCAAGGAACTTCAATTATTGTGGTCCATGTATAATCAATGGGGTTTAGGGGGAGGCAAACTAATGAAGTCTGATGATGAATAATTTTAATTGATCCTAGGTTTGGTTGCACTGGGAATCATTAAGGCTTTAATTTGGTAGAAATTTGGGATTGCAAAACATGGGCTAAATGAAAATAGGTAAGCTATAAATGATCAGATGGGTCTTAAAGTACACTCCTAAGAATGTGCAATGAGAAGAAAAAAATTAGTATAAAGAATAAAGCTGCCTAATAAAAAGTATTTATCAAACACAGATGGAAATCTGTAACAAGGGGGGAAATGCAAGGATACCCATAACTGCTCCCTTTGGAAAAAAATACAAGGTTGCAGCATTCTGGCACTGTTATCTCTCTGAGTTTTTCACCATGTCCCACTATATTCCAACTTACACAGCACTGCAATGTGGCAACTCAAATTAAGTTATTTTTACTTTCAAGCAGAAGGAGAGTTCTGATGTCTAATTTATTTCAGGTTTTTAAAAACAGTGTTTTTCCTAAGCACAAATTCAATATTTAAAAAATATTATCCTAACAGCCTTCGTGTGTTAGTAATGCCAAGCTCATGTTTCCAATTAGCCAGAAAGCAGGTAGGCAGTAAAACATATTTGTGTAAAAAGGAGGGAGAGTAAACTTAACTTCACACCTCATAAAAAGCTTTGTAGTCATCCCAGTGGTGGCTCTCACCATCCTGTAAAATGCTTGTAGCACAAACTCTGACGCAGTAGTCCGTAACCTGAAACTGCAGAGTGTTGATGAATTCCTGATATCGTTGGACAGGCACCAGGAATATGGGTCTGTTCAGAGGGAATGATCAAAGAGACAGAGATTTAAGGCCTGTGCAGTAGGAGGTAACAATCTCCAGTACTACAAATGGTTTTGATTATTAGATATCAATCATTCATTTCCTCCCAATGCTCAAGTCTGCATCCACATTCACTTTCAAAAAAAAAAAAAAAAAAGGCTGCTCTTTGTTTTGCAAGTCCTTTGAAAATGTACATCTGCTGTTCTACAAATATGCACTTCAACTTGAGACAAACTGCATTGTCAATACATCATTCAAAAATAAAAGTATTTTTGGTAAGCCTATTATTAGAGATCACTGCATTATTTAGGCATTAGGTTATTGTTATTACTGGAGAACAACATACACTTGTCAGAAGCAACTTGTATAAAGCTATCACACGTTTCACAATTATACCCTTTTTATTTTAAAAATTGTAATTTTGTAGATGTCAATTACCTCATAAACTGTTTTAAAATATTCTGCAGAAATAGAGTGATTTCTGGCACATTTTGTTTATAAATTCAAGTATGAATCATAACATCTGACTACTTATGAGAATTAAAAAATACCGTTTTATTTTACATCAAGTCATTTTTTTACATTTATCTTCAGCTATTTATATTGCTTTGTGTCATAGCTAATGGACTGGGTAGGCTAAATATGGAACACAGAAGAGAGTGGGTGTTTGGCACAGTGGTTATTTCACCTCTTGGGACGCCTGTATCCCACATCATAATGCCTGGTTCAAGTCCCATCTACTCTGCGGCTGATCCACTTTCCCGTGAATGCACACCCTGGGAGGCAGCAGGTGATGCCTCAAGTACTTTTAAGTCCCTGCCACCCACCTGGCAGATCCACCTTGAGCTCCTAACTCCTGGCTTTGTCCCGGCCCAACACTAACTGTTGTAGGCATTTGGGGAGTAAATCAGCTGATGGAAGATATCTACCTGTTTGTCTGCCTTGCAAATAAAATGGGAAAACAAACCAGAAATATGGAATAGACTCTTGGGCTTGCACTGGACTGCTGTGTTCATGAGGTCCTTTGTAAGGGTCCATGTTATGGCTGGAGAGTACAAAGGAAACTGGAAGGCCATGTGATAACAAACATGGCTGGTAATTTTTATCTCTAGCCAGAAAACATGTCTTCTGCTTAGACCATCAATACATGGGCAGTAAGAATGCTATTTGCTTCCCTTTCCAATATTATGGATGCTTTATACCTAAATGGACATCCTAAAATATGTTTCCTTTGGTCATTAGAATAGATTAAAATGCATTTATTCTTGGTGTCAGCTCCTAACTGCCTATTGGCTAGAAACAAAAGACAGAAGTGAGTATTTCATAAATGTGCCTATGTGGAACAAAAACAAGTTTATTTTCCCTTCTCAGGGTCGATCAATATAACGTGCCACGTAAAATGGAAGAGGAACATTTTGTCATGTCTGTAACAACAGACAGCAACTGGTGAACCCTTGTGAAGGTGGCATTAGAGACTACCTTTCTTCCTACGTATCTTGTTTAATGCTTCTTGCGGTCCACCTTCTTGACATCTCCTGGTCCAGACAAATGAGAATAATTGACCTTGTTCATGACTATTTTCTCCTTCTCAGACATTACCATCATCTCGCTCCTATAGTATCCGAAGGTCACATGTTCCTGTTAGCACAGCTATCGACTTAATTTAAGTGACACTCACTTTTTAGTAGTTTCTTTCATCAAATTGTCATATTGCGTGAAACGCTGGAAGACATACACCGCTGAGGATAGCAGTGCGGGCAGGTTTTTCAGGGGTGCTTTGGAAGGGACCTCCTTGCTTCTCTCTCGCAGTCTCGCCAGGACAGCTGTTGCCACTTTATAACAGGCCTCCACCAAGTTTTCTCTAATTTCCGGAAGAGAATCATCTCTGCATGCCAGAGCCAGTGGAAGCATTGTGTCAAGTTTTTCCATGATGTCAGAACAAAACTGGGAAGAAATAAAATGTGGCACTGAGTTATTTGTACTCTGACAGCACCGTGTAATTTATGGACAGTGGAGCCAAATTCCTAAATAATGAATTTGGCATCAAACATAAATATAATGATGCCGCTTTATAATAATCAATTTCTCAGTTGTAGAAAGTTGAATGTTTTATGTCAAATAAGGAAATACCAAAATGATGCTTTTCTATATATAACTTTCAATCCTTATGTTTACCAGACAGGCATTATGAAAAACGCATGAACCAACTTTACATGACAATACCTTTATTTGTAGTTAATAGAACCCAGAAGATACGTATTCTACATATTAATGTTTGCATTATTTTTTAACTTACTCTAATTTTCTTTTGGTCCATTTCCATAAAATATTTTTTTTCTTTAAGGAAATACCACATGTAAGTGTCAGTTTAATTTAAATAATCTAGATGCATCAGAAACAACCTCATGCAACATCTTACTGGTAAGGAATCTGCAACTTCACCAGTGATGTCTCTAGCTTTTTACTGCTTATCATGTACCTATGTGTTTGCAATGGCCAAGGGAGGCATTGTGGATGGGACTGTGACAACTGCCTCCACATGAGACCAGCCAACAGAATACCCAGGGGAATGTTCTAGAGCCTCAGGGAGACAGCAGCAGCAGGAGGCCTTCTTCAAGGACTCTCTTTGAAGAAACATCCCCATCATAGGCTGCTGAGCTCACTTTGGACTTCAGGCTAAAGAACGCTATTTATCTATTTCCTATTTTCGCGATATGTACTGTGACATTCAAAACACATGTAAAGATGTAAGACCGAGGATAATGGAACAGAATGTTCACTAATGTGTGAATAGAGATTTTTAAATCGCCCTAAGACAAGACAGTACTCCTGCCAAGCTCCTAAGTTCTTCCTGCAGTCATTGGAAGGGCTAACCCAAACAGGCTGCTTTCTAATACTGTTTTTCCCAGCTCAGCCACGAAGTCACAGAGGCCCCACTTCTGGTTGCCTCAGACTTCTGGAGCAACAAGCTAGCAACAGCTTCAAGCCTCCTTTGGTAGCAGTGGCCCAGGGATACCAGAGGCAAAAGCTGGTATCGAATCAAGAACCAAGTATTTGGCAAGTGCCTCCACCATTTGATCTACAGATTAGTTTTGCAATGTCTTCTATTAAAAAAAAAAAAAGTCCCAGTGTACTAGTCAGCAGTTGGAAGGGAGTTAATCTGATACTTGCCTTTGCAATTTTCTTTGGTTGCTCCTCCTGAGGGAACTCGTGGCCATCTTGCCAAACCTGCTGGACATTTACAAGGTTCACAGCATAGCTCACAGTTGAAGACCTTTCATTCTGTTCCTCTTGGAGAATTCTCGTGGAAAAATCTTCAATTGCAGTTGTTATACTATCTGCCACGGGAAGAGACACTTCCTTAAAGGCACTTCTCCAGCCAAAATCTAGCAGAGTATCCTGAAATATAAATTTATATACAGTCATGTTAATCTTAACTGAGCAACCAATGTTTCCATTGTTACAGATATAAAATTACTACTTTATTCCAACATGTTGAATATCGCTCTTTGACATACCGTAAAACCCATTCTTACAAACTGAAAAACATTGCCTACCAAATAAAGCAATATACAAAAACATGGGCCTTCTTTATACACAGTAATATACTGGCATTTTATTCTAGCTCGTCAGATTTAATAAAACTTTTTCCAAAATTTAATCTCTTAAATATAGTTCAATAAAACCATCTTTACAAGAGCCAAAAGCTACACTTACTATTTATCACACAAAGCCACTTTAAATTCATATACTTAATAAATTCTAAATTAGATTTTTATAGTCTTTTTTATAGTTTATTGTTAACAAGTATTGTAACATAAGACAGCATTTAATATTCACTCTTTTATTTCTTTTTCACACTCAGAAATCCAGACAAGCCAAAAAATAGCAATAAGAAATAAATTTCTCAGAGAAAACACTACTGTACCTTTTTGAATTTTTACTTGCTTAGAATTTTATTTAGTCTCTCCACTCCTACAATGGTAAGCGGCACTATTTTTGTTCCAGAAAATGAGGAATTAAAATGATCTACATTGCTCTGCATGTTGAGGCAGGAGCTGACGTTGTCTTATTCCCTTTTTTTTTTTTTTAAACTTTTGGTCTATGGTTCATATGGAAAAATGTTTATGAATGTGTATTCCCCCAAGCCCTCTAATGTTCTCCAAAGTACTGAAATCATGGGTAGAAAGCTGAACCTATGCTTCAAATTAAACCTCCCCTGTTTCAGTGTAGCTTTGTTTATACTAACTTGTCACCTAGTTCGACTTCAGAAAGACCCTGGGCTCCATATCCATGACTCAATTACTTGTGTTTCTTGATCTCAGCTTTTTTGGTAGAAAAATAAAAGAGCTGAATTGGATTATTTCTATGGTCCTTTTCAGTCTAAAATTACTGAGATTATAATCATTAGCCTATTTTTCTTATTTGGATTCCCCTACTTAGCATTCAATACTGTACAAAGTAATAAAACTGACTCATTTTCTTTTTTTGTTTTTAAAGATTTTACTTATTTATTTGAGAGGTAGAGTCACGGACAGTGAGAGGGAGAGACAGAAAGGTCCTCCCTCTGCTGGTCCACTCCCCAGTTGGTTGCAACAGCCTCAGCTATGCTGATCCAAAGCCAGGAGCCAGGAGCCCCCTCCTGGTCTCCCATGTGGGTGCAGGGACCAACTTCTACTGCCCTCTCAGGCCACAGCAGAGAGCTGGACTGGAAGAGGAGCAGCCGGGACCAGAACCGGTGCCCATATGGGATGCCGACGCCGCAGGCGGAGGATTAACCAAGTGAGCCATGGCGCCAGCACCAAAACTGACTCATTTTCTAGAACTAAAATTCTATGACTCCATGACTCTGCAAGCAGAGAAAGTGATTCTTGTTCCTATTACGCTCATAATTAATATGCAACTAAACTTCCCTTCCTAAAGTTTATTTGGACCTTTTGCATCTTAAAGAATGCAAACACGTATCCCTGATCTTGTCTTTGCACAAAATTTACCAATTCCTGAATCCACTCAACTCAGGGAGTCTTGTTTCTCAGATGTTAAACTTTGGAGTGGTGTGGGTATAGCTCTATGCTTTAACAGGAATTCTTTAGGGAACATTTGATAGAAATATAAAATGGAATCTACCTCCATGAAGATTAAAACAACAATAAAAAAACTGGATTTCTGTTATCCCCATCATGATATGTCTATTCATTAAAAATTCATTCATTCATTGAAATATGTTCTGGTAAAAACTACCATTAACTGCCATGGCTGGGGTGACAATGGCGTGTGTGTATGTACCACCACACAAGCACAATGATTACTTTATTACTCATAAAAATATGTGACTATAATACATTGGTTCAAAGGGATCACATAAACAAGACTAGTGTCTGCAAATACTAACTGATAGAATAAAAAAAGGGAGAGAACGATCCAACATGGGAAGTGAGATACACAGCAAACTCATAGAATGGCAGATGTCCTAAATAGCACTCTGGCCTCAGAATCAGCCCCTAAGGCATGCGGATCTGGCGGAAAAGCCCATGAGAGTATTTCAGGCATGGAAAGCCAAGACACTCTGGCAAAACAAACAAACAAACAAAAAACCTAAATGAAATATCTCCTCGAGTGATATCCCAGTTCAAAGAACAGGTCATCAAAGAAGGAGGTACCTTTCTCTGAAGGGAGGAGAGAACTTCCACTTTGACTACGACCTTGTCTAAATATGATCAAAGCCGGTGAACTCAAAAGGCTTCCATAGCCTTGGCAACTCATGACAAGAGCCTGGGGTGATTACTGATGCCATAAACAAGAGTGTCATTTTGTTAAGTCAACAACAGGAGTCACTGTGCACTTGTTCCTCATGGAGGATCTGTGTCCTTAATGTGCTGTACATTGTGATTTAATGCTATAACTAATACTCAAACAGTATTTTTCACTTTGTGTTTCTATGTGGGTGCAAACTGTTGAAATCTTTACTTAGTATATGCTAAACTGATCTTCTGTATATAAAGAGAATTGAAAATGAATCTTGATGTGAATGGAAGGGGAGAGGGGGTGGGAAAGGGGAGGGTTGCGGGTGGGAGGGAAGTTACGGGGTGGGGAAGCCATTGTAATACATAAGCTGTACTTTGGAAATTTATATTCATTAAATAAAAGTTAAAAAATAAAGAAATCAAGCAATTAATAGCTGCCTTTAAAAAGAATACAGAAAATCTTTAGTTACTCAAACCTCCTTCTAAAAATCTATTTTTTCCATGAAATACTATATGCTGACTTACTCTTTCCATTTGATATTTGGTGTCATACATATTCCAGTTGAAATACAGAACTTTGTTGATTGATCCAAGAATAAAAAAGAGAATCATGGGACTTTTTGTACTGGCTGCCAAGTATATATACACACACATATACAAAGACATGAACACACATATATACACACACACACACACACAATGGAATATTATTCAGCTATAAAAAAGAATGAAATTCTACCCATTGCAGCAAAATGGATTCAACTGGAGGACATCATGTTGTGTGAAATAAGCTGGACACAGAAAGACAAATACCACATGTTCTCCCTTATACATGGGAGCAAAAATTTAAAAAACAAGAGAAACAAAGAAATGGCTGTGTTTATCAGCACTGCTGCAAATACAGTTTTGTGAAACTCTGTTTTACACCTTTGTGAAACCAGTGGTTAATAATGTTATACTATAGCTTTAATGATCTGTGTTTACTTTAAAATTTACTGTATATGGGTGAAATGATCATTTTCCATTCAATTATTGTTTATATTCCCACTAAACTAGGGTCTTTTTACTTTTTACTTGTTAAACTTCTTATTTGGTGAAGTATTAAGCTCTTTCACTGTAATATAAATTTAAAATATGCTATCTTAAAAGAAAGAAATAAAGGGAGAGGGAAGGAGGGTGAGAGGGAGACAGGAATAGGAGGGGAGGAAATCTTACATTCTTAGAACTGTATCTATCATCTATATTGAATTGCTTAAAAACTAAAATAAAAATAAAAAATAAATAAAAGTTTATCTGATGCATACATTTCTGAGATCCATGCATCCTTTTGCTTTTTTTTTTTAAATTTTATTTATTTTTACTTACTTAAAAGGCAGAGTGACAGACAGTAAAAAAGACGTATTTATAGCAGAGTATGTTAAGTAGCCACTGTGGTCTCTATCGGAGTGCTGGTTCCAGGCCTGGCTATCCTGCTTCTGATCCAGCTTCCTACTGATGTTCCTGGGAAGGCAGTGGAAGATGGCCCAAGTACCTAGGCCTCTGCCATCCTTGTGGGAGAAAAGGATGGAGCTCCTGGCTCCTGGCTTCTGTTCTGGTCATTTGGGCTCTGTCTGTACCTCTGTCACTTTGCGTTTCAAATAAAATAATGAGAGAGAGAGAGAGGGAGAGAAGGAGGGAGAGAAGGAGGGAGGGAGGGAGAGAAAGAGAGAGAGAGAATCTTCCATTTGGCAGTTCACTTCCCAAATGCCTGCAACAGTCAGAGCTAGACCAGGCTAAAGTCAGGAGCCAGGAACTCCATCCGGGTCTCCCACGTAGGTAACAGGGAGCCAAGTACTTGAGGCATCAACTGCTGCCTCCAAGAACGTGCATTAGCGGGTCTGGCATTGTGGCACAGGGGGTAAAGCCATCGCCTTAGACACCAGCATCTCATACGGGAGCTAGTTCGTATCTTCACTGCTCCATTTCCACTCCATCTCCCTGCTACCACACTTGGGGAAACAGCAGAAGATGGCCAAATATTTGGGCCCCCACCACCCACATGGGAAACCCAGAAGAACTCCTGGCTCCTGACTTTGGCCTGGCCCAGTGCTGGCCATTGTAGCCATCTGGAGAGAGAACCAGTACACGGAAGATCCCTCTCTCTCTCTCTCTCTCTCTCTCTCTCTCTGTCTTTCCCTCTCTCTGTAACTTTGACTTTCAAAATAAATAAATAAATAAATCTTAAAAAAAAAAAGTCTATTAGCAGGAAGCTGGATCAGAAGCATAGGCAGGACTTGACTCCAGGCACCGTGATATGGGATGTGGGTGTCCCCAAGTAGTGGCTTAACCAGCTGTGACACATCTACCCCACGCATGCTATTTTCATAAACTTTTTGAAGACCTCACTATGACAAAGTTCAAAATTGCTTTGCACCAAAATAAACTTATCTTTTAATTCAATTTTCCCTGAACTTTTCAAAGAATCCTTGACTTACCAAATGCTGTTAGTACTGACTTTGATTTCTGGTTAAAGCAGAAGTTATAAATGAATTTTCTTAATTATTTCCCTCACGTTCTAGGCTGAAACTCTGTTAAGACTATATGTTCTTGGGGCTGGCGCTGTGGCATAGTGGGTAAAGCTGCTGCCTGTAGTACTGGCATCCCATATGGGCACTGGTTTAAGTCCTGGCTGCTCCACTTCCAATCCAGCTCTGTGCTATGGCCTGGGAAAGCAGTAGAAGATGGCCAGAGTCCTTGGGCACCTGAACTCAAGTGGGAGACCCAAAGAAGCTCCTGGCTCCCGGCTTTGGATTGGCCCAACTCTGGCTAGTGTGGCCAACTGGGGAGTGAACCAGCAGATGGAAGACCTCTCTCTCTTTCTCTCTCTCTCTCTCTCTCTCTGCCTCTCCTTCTCCTTCTGTGTAACTCTTTCAAATAAATAAAGAAATAAACCTTTCAAAAATATTTATTTAAAATAAAAAAGACTATACATTCTCTTACCATCTTTAATATTTATCTAGCACATCAGTCAGGACCCATTCAGAAATAAAACCACTTGAAGTATTACAATAGGAAGAATTTTAATGTAGGGTGTTGGTTAGCTAGGTGATGGAAGATTCTAGGAGCCACACATGGGCTTTGAAATATAACAGATACTAATATAGAAGGAAGCCTCAACCAGCCCCAGGGCTGCAGGAACAATGAACAGGAACTGTGCAGTGGGAGACTGATTCCTGGGGCCACCAACTGATCTGTAGCCAAGACAGATCTGCCAGGTAGAACTGCGATCAAACAGGGAAGGCTGTATGGTGGGAGCACCGTCTGCCCAGGAGATAAAGTTGAAGTCACAGCCACTACCTGAAATGTTTTCTAAAACACAGTAGACGAGGGAAATATCCTAGCTTCTCTGCAGCTCCCATACTCCAGTCCCCAGTCAAGGCCTTTAGCTGGCCAAACCTCCCAAGAATCCAGAGAGAAAGGGATCCTGGAAGACTTAATTCTCTACAACACGGAGCCAAGCAGAAGAGTGGTGCCAGGTCCTGAGTACACATGAGCAAGGCAAGGCACACAGCACCAACGGGCCTGCTCCAGTGGTTCCTTCCCTTTCTCTCTTAATCATTTTTTCACTTTCCAATGACTATCTGTAGCCCACATCTGCAAAGTACAGAACCTGAGTTAGGATGAGAGCAAACATCCCTTCACTTCCATCTCCCTATTCTTCCCATGGAAGACACTGGCCAAGAGACAAGGGTCCCTGCTAAACTGAATTTTTGTCAAAAGCTTATAAGCCAATTTTTAATCAGGAATTATTACTGACTTTTTTAATGGCAAAGGGTAAAACTCAAGGCATTCTGATCCATAATGCATTTATAGACATGGATGATGACACTACATCTGAATAAGGTGAACACCACTCTTTTCTCCTCTCTTACCTCTTTTACTGGCAACAACTGCTCTGAAGGAACACTGGTTTCATTTGCTCTAGATTTTTCTGTTAAAAGTTCTCTACAGGATTTCTCCAGAATCCCTAAGAAATAGAAAAGAAAACAAGCATACAAAATATATATTTTTTTAAAAAAACAAACCTTACTCATTGTGTGATTAACAGGTTCAGGTTAAAATTAATTATACAGAAAAGCTCTACCCACAGTGTATACATACATATATATAGGCACACATATAACAATATGCAGGGAATACAGGAAGCAGAAATACATAGGTAATACAGTAGAGTAGGAAAAATTACCCTCTTAATAAGCATGTTAGTCATTAATTCAAAAAACACAAACACAAGAACAGACATGAAATATTCCCTCACTTCTAAAACTGGAACAGTTTTTTAACAGTTATTTTTATAATTAATAAACTCTTTTCCATGACAAGAAAATAACACTGGACAAGATTAATAAATAAATATTTCCAAGACAAATCTAATTTTCCAGTAAAGTTACATTAATAACAGTTTGATTCAATATGAATAATTTAGAATTTACCTTTCTAAAAATGTTTATCTTTGCTGTTCCTTATTTCAGGAAGGGAAGTATTTTTTTTTCTCATACAGCTTTGAACTTTTATTAGAAGAGGTAAAAGGAACGCAGAGTGTTTAATCAGACCAGACAGAATGGAAGCATTTTGTACAGTGCAAAAAAGTTTTGCCAGTCTACTGGGTTACTGGCTTGTTCACCTAGCACATACTCTGATCCTGAGAAGAACGGAATGATTAATGTGCTAAGAAACAGTCTTTAAATGTAGTGCCTGATGATTTAATTTCTTTTCACTTATTTTTGATTTGAAAGGTTGTGTGTGTGTGTGTGTGTGTGACAGAGAGAGAGAGAGAGAGAGAGAGAGCGAGCGAGTGCAGAGAGAGAGAATGAGAATATATGACTCTTTCCATGCATTGGTTCATTCTCCAAATGCCCGTAACATCCAGGGCTGAATAGGCCTAAATCAGGAGCTAAGAACACAATCCGATTCTCCCATATGGGTGGCAGAGATCCAAGCATTTGAGTCATGACCTGCTGCCTTGTAGGATGTGCATTAATAGTAGGAAGCTGGAATTGCGAGTGGGAATCAGGACTCAAACCAGACACTGTAATATGGGATACAGGAGACCTAAATGGGTGATGTAATCACTGTGCCAAATGCTTGCCCAGGATTTAACTTCTTAAATGAACAAGGAAATTAACGTTTACTTTTTACTCTTATCCTACATTGCTAATATGAAAATGAATTAAACACAAAAGAGTATTTATTTTAAAGATTATATATGTTTGCACATCAAATATGAATATAATCTACATATAGATTTTAAGCAAGTTAAACTTGGAAAAGCACTCTAAAGGCATACTTCCAGAAGTTCACAGAGGAGCAGGCTTTTAACCTAGCAGCTAAGACGCTGGTCAGGATGCTCACATCCCACATGAGAGCCCTGAGTTTGGTGTCTGGCTCTAGCTTCCAGCCAATGCAGAAACTGGGAGACGGCACATAACAACCCAAGTAGTTGGGTCCCTGCCACTCTTGTAGGAGACGTGGATTGTGTCTCTGGCTCCTGTCATGGACTCCCAGCCATTGCAGACATTTGGCAAATGAGAACATGGATAGGAACTCTGTCTATTTGTGTCTCTCTAGCCTCTTCAAGGAAAAGTCTGTGGAAAATGGATTTAAAAGACGAGTTGATTTTGCTGCAAAAAATTTTGAAATCCATGCATATATGTATATGATGATGAATTATGTACTATGATCTATTTTAACTTTTCTTTTCCATTTATCAAGAATTTTCAGAACCAGTTTCTCCTTACACTCTTGGACAAAGCAAATTTCACAGTCTCGCCAATTTTATCAGTAGGGATTCTGACCAACAGAGTCATAGAGTATACATGTGTGGTTGATTTGCTTTTTTCGGCCTCTAAATGTGGTTCTATGAACATAATTCTGAATCATTTCTAAGGAATAAAGTTCACAGAAATGAAAATATTTTGTTCTGATATTAAGCTGGTTTCAATATTCTTGTCCAAACAGTATACTAAAGGTAAATATTCCATTTAGTAGACAGTAACACCATCTTTTTGGCAAATTTTATCAGAGATTATATATTTTGAGGAAATAGAGATAACTAATATTTCTTAATCATTTTTGGATTTATGAGCATTTCTGAGAATTTCATTATTGTGACAGAGCATACCTTACAAAATTGTATAATATGAGTGGCAAGCACTTATGCACGCGCGCGCGCACACACACACACACACGTGAGGACATACCTTTGGGTGCTCCCAGACCTCTGTAAATCTCATTCATAAACACTATGGGCCCATGCACTGCAATTTAACAACCCTGTTCCATTACTCAAGACTCCTAACAACATAGAGAAGGTTTTAAACTCAAATAAGTGTTACACCATTTAACCTAAAATGCTTTTTCCAATGACTCGTGCTTTAGATTTTTTAAAGACAAAGGCATTTGGACTGGCATAGTGGCATAGCGCGTAAAGCCGCCACCTGTGACATCAACATCCGACATGGGCACCAGTTTGAGTTGCAGCTGCTTCCCTCCAGATCCAGCTCCCTGCTAATGGCCTGGAAAAAGCAGTGGAGGATGGTGCAAGCAGTTGGGACCCTGCTACCCATGTGGAGACCCAGATGAACCTCCTAGCTCCTGGCTTTAGCCTGGCTCAGCCCTGACCATTGTGCTCATCTGGAGATTGAACCAGCAGATGGAAGAGCCTTGCTCTCGCGCGCTCTCTCTCTGTCTCTCTCTCCTTCTCTAATTCTGATTTTCAAATAAATAAATCTTAAAAAAAAAAAGAGGTGATGGCATTATAAATAAGGATAAATTATAACACAGAAATAAAATCTATTTTAGTCATGGATTTTAAAATAAGGAAAAATAAAACGTTTGAAAATCTGGAACATTTTTTCAAAAGATCTGTATAGAGGAAACTTTTTTGGACACAAAGGTAGTAGCCATATAAGAATTCTGTACAACAAAATTAGCACTGAGAGTCCAAACAGAGACAACAAACTGACATGACAATCTTCGTCAAAATGGGCATCTTTTTAAAAACTAGATTTTATTTATTAAGAGGATATTTATATTTACAGAAAAAATGATAAAAAAAATTAGAGTATCTGTATATTTTCTCTCTACCCTTAGTTTTCCCTGTTAACATTTTGAAACAATGTACATGTGTTACAACTGATGAATAATTGTTAAATCATTATTAACAAGTCCACAGTTTAGATTCATTCTTTCTATTGTGCAATTCAATAGGTTTTGTCAAATACAAGTACTGTACATACCACTATTGCTCTAACAATCCCTCTGTACCATGTATACATCACTTTCCCCTTCCCCAGGAGAGCAACCACTCATCTTTTTACTTTCTCGACAGTTTTGCCTTTTCCATCGCATACAGTTGAAATCACACAGCATGCAGCCTTTCAGATAGTCTCCTTTCACTTAGCGAAATGCATTTAAGGTTCCCCATGTTTTTTCATGGCTTGACATCTCATTTCTTTTTGTTGATGAATAATATTCCGTTGTATTGATATACCACAGTTTGTTTATCCACTCACCTACTGAAGAACATCCTAGTTGCTTCCAAGTTTTGGCAACTATAAATAAGGCTGCTATAAACATTCAGATGCAGGTTTTTGTGTGGACTTAAGACTTAAGTTTTCAACTCATTTGGATAAATACCTAGGAGTGCAATTGCTGGATCATATGGTAAGACTATGTTTAGCTTTGTAAGGCACTGCCAAACTGGCTTCCAAGGAGACTGTACCATTTTGCATTCTTAACAGCAATGAATGAGCATTCCTATTTCTCCACATTCTTGCCAGAATTGGTCCTAGTTAGTGGTTTGGATTTTAGCCATTCTAATAAAATAGATAGGGGTGTCTTGCTTTAGTTTGCATTCTTCTGATGACATATGATATTGAGCACCTTTTCAAAAGCTTATTTGACATTTGTATACCCTCTTTGGTAAGGTCTCTGCTCAGATCTCTTACATATTTTTAAACTGAATTGCTTATTTTCTTGTTCAGTTCTTTGTATATTTTGGATACAAATCCTTTATCACATATATGTTTTCAAAATTTTTGTAGTTAATCTGTGGCTCATCTTTTCATCTGCTTTGCAACCATGCTTTTTACTTTGCAACTAAACTTCAGAAACTTAGTCTTCAGATATGACTGCATATATAAAAGCACAGTTTTGTGAAATTTGCCAGACCATTGTCTGTAGTAACCAATGAAGTGGGGGGAAAAAATCCCAATCATCCATCAATGAATAGGTGGTTAAATTTTGATACATGAATCAATGGAAAGCTATTCAACTGTTACAAAGAATGAGGTGTTTCTACATTTTCTGAATTGTTAATAAAAAGCAACATCTGTATAGTATGACAAGGTTTTATGTTATTTTAACATGGAGATATACAGGGGAGTCATCGCTCAGGAGACAGAAACTAGACAAGAGAGGTGAAAAAAGAATTAAATAATACATAATAATAAATAATTATTATATATAATAATTAAATAATAGAGTTTTAGTATATGCATGTAACACATTGTTCAATGATGATTTTTACAGAAGAAAAAAGTAATACATATCAAGTTGTGAATGACATGAAGCAACAACACATGGATTCTTAATGTCACTTTACCTTTCTACAAGTAGCTCAGAAAACTAGCTTATTGAAAAGGTACTTACCCTGGAAAAAGAAGACTAGCTTGCAGTATATGCTTTGCGGGTATGTTTCTGAAAATACCTACCTGCCACTGAGTAGCTATAGTTTAAGTCTTACAAAAAACCGCTAATTATCTTGTATTTATCATTTCACTCCCAAATACATTATGTTTATTCACTAAATGTAATGTGCTCAGATGTTTATACAAACCATCTGCCTATTTTCAAGATGAGTAAGAAAAAAAAAAAAGAGAAGCTTTCCAAGACTTCTCTTGTCGGTGAGCAATTCTAGAGTAGGATAGAAAATGCATGATCAAGCAATTATAATAACCTTTAAAATATAATGCTCCCCTCCCCAATTTAAAAACTATTTTAAAAACTTAATATTACACATGAAAGGAAAGGGGATCATTTTTAGGAATGATTAGTAACACCAAATTCACACTAATAAGATACGTGTGGTTTTAATAAATTGTGGTGTTTTCATATGTCTTTGGAATTCAAAATGGTCAATTTCAAAAGTTGGCAATGCAAGACTTCATGAGCTCTGTGAACATCTGCAGAATCATTTCATGTATTTTTTAAATACATGGAAAAGGCCATACCCTTTTTTATCACTGTGTAGAGAGAGGGTAGTCCATTCTTGGCTCAGGGCTCTAACATATACTTATTGGCTAGCTATCAACACTGGTTTCTTTAAGAGCACGCCTAGATTAGGGACTTCAGAAGAGTGCAGAGGGTCACAAGAAAGCCAGCTGCTCAACAGCCTCCCCTACAGAGTTCTCTGTGGTTCATTTTTCACTCGTGGTTAGTTTCCACACTGCCGCTTTCTTTCAGAGAGAGTAGAGCTTGGCAGTACTTCCCTGTGACATCCACTTTCACACCCAAATTGGTCTTCATAGGTTCCCATTGTGTGCACTACAAAGCAACTTGCCTTGTTGGCGGCTCTAAGTGGGAACTACAAGTCTTTCTTTTCTTCACTGCTCTTTTCTGGCTCACAAGCAGCCTCCCACCAAAAGCTGAATCTGTAGAAGAGACTACATCCAAGAGATAATACCATGAAAAAGTATGAAGAGAAGCCCAGGTGGCCACCTTGCAAATTTCCAATGTGGAAGCCTTCGACCTCTCTGCCCAAGAAACAGCTAAAGTCCTAGAGTAATGAGCTTTACAAACCCTAGGAGCCTCTTTACCTTAACTACATACGCCTCCCTAATACAATCCCTTAACCATCTAGCTAAGGAACTCTTAGAAGCCATTTGACCCCTCTTAAGACCCCCTAAGAGTACAAACAATCTTTCAGAAGATCTGAAATCTTTGATTCTTCTGAGACAAACCCTACGTGTTCTTCTTACATCCAATTGAAGCAGCCATCGCTCTTTGTCATTGCTGGGGCTAAAGAAAAATGAGGGCCAAGAAACCTCCTGGTTTAGATAAATCTCAGATGCCACCTTTGGAAAATTTGAGGAACTGCCCAAAGAACAACTTTATTCTGAAGGAGCGTTAGAAATGTCCCATATATCAAACCCAAGGTCACTCCCCAAGATATCACCACCTAAAAGAAATGAAGTAAGGTACCATCACAGTGAAATAATGTGCTATCGTTTTCTGAAATGATGAAAATAGGAAACCATCACATTATGACCAAACAAAAGCAAATAAATATGACTCAATATCTTCTTCCTTAGAAAGTATTTCTTGTGTCTCTACAATATTCCTTGTCCACTGCCAATTGGGATAAGTCTATGTTATAATAGTAAACATCAAAGTAAAAAGTAAAATATTTGGTTAATCATCTTCACATTTTTTCTATGTGACGTTAAGCACCTGGACATTTTTAAAACATCTGGACAATGAGGAAAAAACCCTCACTTTTCATCAGATTGTTTGGGTTACACAGACATAGTAGGTAACTCTTTCCAAGATCTTTATTACCAAAATATGCTCCAATCAAAATAAATACACAGGAAACTAAGTTACTTGCTCTCTTTATTTTTTCCCCATTCTTTCCCACACAAGATTTCTAAGCAAAACGCTAACTATCAGGAATACTCAATAGCTAACTTAAGAAACATTTGGTTTCTTTAATCATCCATTTCAAGGAATGTTTTACTTCCTGATTTAAGAAACCAATGATTTTTATAAGAATGGATTAACTTGGATACACTGAATAAAGCATTTAAGATTTTTTCTTGACAATTTCCCTCATGATCACTCTTCTCAGGGAGCCATTTACATAAAGTTGTGTCAGATTAAGTCAATCTTGGCTTTGGTAAAAAAATATGAATTTCAACAATGAAAAACACATATATCACAAGGGAAAGTTCTGGTACTCAGACATTTCTTACACTCACCCTTCAAAACTCCTACATACTGTGTTCAATAATTCACAAATGTATTTATATAGTACACTATTATTAATGTGATAATGAAGTTACTTTTATCTACCAAACCACTTACACATTGACAAATGGAGAGTAAAACAGTATACAGTAGAATAATTAAATATTGGCTCTGTTGAGTTTTAGTCTCAAATACACAGCATTTGAAAATCTGCATATTATTTAATCTTAATCTAATGGAATTGAACAGGCTTTTTCTTTTTTCTACATTTTCCTGAAATCCACACATCAAATCTTTGCTTCCATTCTTGGTCATTTCAGTTTTATATCTTTATAATTTCTCTCTAAAACAATTCTAATTTTCAACTTCTGCTGTCTTAAAAAGAATAAAGTTCTCAGAATTGACCTAAATTCCCAAGAGCTTGGCTTAGGACCAAAACAAGATGATTTCAAATGGGTAGGAGCTGAGTTTTTTGGATTACATTCCGTTGGTTGGTCCACACTCAGAAAAGGTCTACTAAAAATGTGGATGTGAGATGCCAGATCTCAGCTAGACATGATGGATGAGTATTACACCAAATCGCAACTGTTCAAAGCATCAATATGTCAATCAAAAACCAGGATGTCACATTTCTCTATTCAGATCTCTCTTTGACCACCCAGTCAACTCCATCTAGAAGGCCACATAAATCTCACATTAGCTTCTAATTAAATCCATTTTTTCATTCAGCCTCTTAATTTTTAGATTTTCTGTATGACATTTTTATTATTTTCCCTTTTTTGATTAATATTGGAAATTTGTAAACCACTTCCATTATTCTTAAAATTATCTCCAAATTTGTAAAAGTGACTTACATTATTTACTTTAAAATTGTGCTATCTAAACTTAACCTGAAACATAGAAGTCCAATAAACTATGCTTAATACAAAACAAACTCCAAACTCCAACACTGTAACTTTTCTAACATTATTTATACTGCCAAAGGAAAGAAAGAAACACCGAAATAAGCATGTTGAGTAAACTAAATGCAATTTTCCCTGAGAAATCAGGTTTAGAGGTTGAAATTTTCTGATTGTGTGTAAGTCACTTGGTTTGGCAGATGCAGCCTCTGCATATGCTCATTCTTCTTAGAATGACATATGGTCGCATGTAAAAGAGACCTTTGTGCATTTCATCCTGATCACAATGAAAAACTTTATAAATATGGATATGACAGCAGAGAATGCACCTTAACCATTATGCCTTTGAATTTTACCTTTAATTTCAATACAAATGGCATAGCTTCTTCAAAGGAATTTTATCAACACTAACTGAAATTTAAAAATTATATAATTATACTTATTATTTTAATAATTCACACTTATGGATTTTTAAAGATATCCTGGACATTCTTTTAAGTATTTTATATATATAAAGTCATTTAATTCTTATAAACCTATTGGAACCCAAAGCATCTAATTCTGGAAGAAAACAAAGAAAATTAATCAAGTCTTGAATGATTACTGTGAAGATGAGAAAACTCAAGTCTAAGGAGAATAAATATGCTGTGGCAGAAGAGGGGTCACTAGATCATCAAGTCTGCTTACTCTTTCCATAAAGCCACACTGTATTTCTTTGGGGTAAAATTTGATCTGATTTTAGCTAAAGACAATTATTCAGATGCTTTGTCAATTAGGATTAAGGGATTCTTCAAATAAAAAGGATGAAAACGTAACCTATGGGATGCATCATACTGAATGTTTACTTAAATAATTTTCTTATGGATTTGACTCAAGTAATGGTATTGATTCACAGTGGCAACAAATAAAAACAAAAATTACAGATTTACAAATTTAAACAAGAGTATATTACCTGAAGTATTCCTGGATATCTTGAGTGATAAAAACAGTTCTTCAAACAATTCTTGGACATTTTTTTCTAGCGTCAAAAGGGATTTTATAAGATGAGATAAGAAACTGAGTTCATCTAAGGAAAAGCAAACGTTTTTTCCTTTCTGTGGGCATTCAGGAGTGACTGAAAGAGAAAATCAATACTGTTGAATATTTTGTTTTCTTAATAAATGTGATTCTATAAACCTTCAAAACTAACAAGCTACTCCATAATTAAAACAAATTAGTTCATTAAGAAACAAATATAGAATCTCCTAGGACAGTCTCTTCTTCTGGGAAGCTGGAGATAAGTATTCTGTTTGATGCAAATGTGACAATTAAATTAGATTGATTCTCACAGTCATAAACAGAAACGTGATTTGTTATTGTAAAATCACATCTTAAACTTGTACAATTTTATTTTTATAAAATCACAGCTTAGCCTTGTACAATTTTAGTTTTTTTGAAGTCTGGCATAACTTGAATCAAACTACAAGGAAACATTAGACAAATCCAAACTGAAGGACAGTCTACAAAAGAGTTGGTCAGCACTTTTTAAGTGTTGTATCAGGAAACAAAAACTAGAAAATGTTCTAGTCTAAAAAGACATGAGCACAGAAATCAATGCATGATCAGCATCATATTTTATTTTATTATGCTATAAAGGACACTATTGGGGTAAATTGGTGAAATCCGAGTAAAGTCTGCAAGTCAAGGACATTATTGTGCGATTGCTTATTTCTTGATTTAGCTAACAGTACTGTGGTTATGAAAGAGATGCCCTTGTTTTTAGGGAATACATGTGGAAATTCAAGGGATCTTCAAAAAGATCACGGAAAATGTACACTACCTTTAATTTAATTTTTCCATGAACTTTTGGAATTCCCTTTAAGGTAAATGTCTGCAAACTATACTCACTTCAGAAAAAAAGTTTTGAGGGGAGAAGGAGAGAAAGCAAACAAATAGGGACAAAATACTAACATTTGGGGAATCTGGATATGAAGGAATTTGGGGAATTCTTTAGTATCCTGGTGACTTTTTGTAAATCTGAAACTAAAATACAAACTTAAAAGAAGCAAATTAATTTAGCTGTTAAATTGTTGAATCTAGACAACAAAATTCATGAAATTAGGTTTTAAAATAATTTGTCTAGGGGCTGGCGTTGTGGCTTAGTGGGTAAAGCCATCACCTGCGAGACCAGAATCCATATGGGCAACAGTTTGGGTCCTGGCTGCACTACTTCTGTTCCAGGTCCTTGCTAATGCGCCTGGAAAAGCAGCAAAGGATGGTCCCAGTGCTTGGGGCTCTATGCCCACATGGGCGACCTGCATGACGTTCTAGTGCCTGGCTTCAGCTTGGCTCAGTGCTGGCCACTGTGGCCATGTGGGGAGTGAATCAACAGATGGAGTCTCTCTCTCTCTCTGTCTCTCCCTCTCTTTCTGTAACTCTGCCTTTCAAATAAATACATAAATCTTTAGAAAATATTTTAATTAGAAAAAACTTGCATAAATACTTGTGGTATCTATTAATTGCATAGGGGTAATACAACTTTAAAACAACATATGTGACTAGTCAAGTCAAGAATTTTAATAAGATTGAAAAACACTTCTGACTCTTTAAGAGTATGACAGGATTATTACATTGTCTTAAAATCTGAATTTATTAGTTTTGACTATGGTTTCAAGTGTTTAAATAATCCTTCCTTTATTAATGCCACTTTTTAAAACACAATAGGGTACTTTAAGCAATCTGTGGGAAATGGAATTAAAAGATGAGTTTACTGGGGCCAGTGCTGTGGCAGACTAGGCTAAGCCTCCACCTGTGGCACCAGCATCCCATTGGGCACCAGTTCGTGTCCTAGGTGCTCCTCTTCCCATCCAGCTCTCTGCTATGGCCTGGAAAAACAGTGGAAGATGGCCCAAGTGCTTGGGCCCTTGTACCCTCATGGAAGACCCAGAAGAAGCTCCTGGCTCTTGGTTTTGGATTGGCTTAGCTCCAGCTGTTGTAGTCACTTTAGGGAGTGAATCAATGGATGGAAGAATCTCTGTCTTTTTCTGTTTCTCTGTAACTCTACCTCTCAAATAAATAAATAAATCTTTAAAAAAGAAAAGTTTATTTTAGTGCAAGAATTTTGAAACCATACATAGTCTTCATAATCTGCATTTCATTAACTTAAATTCTTACATTCATAAATTTCAAAAAAATTTTGTAACAAATTAATTTTAAAAAATTATTTTTTATTTCTTTACTCAAAAGATAGAAACATGCATACACATACATGTACAGAGAGAGAGAGAGACAGAGACAGAGAGAGAGAGAGTAAGTTACCATCTGATGTTTCATTCCCCAAATGCCCACAACAGCTGAAGCTGGGCCATGCCAAGGTTTAGAGTTGGGAACTCCACCCAGGTCTCCTGTTTGGGTGGCAGTGACCTAACTTCTTTAGCCATCATCTGCTGTTTCCCAGGGTGCTCACTGGCAAACGCTGGAATCAGGAGCTGGAGTTGGGTATCTACTCAGATATGGGACACAGTTGTCTCACCTGGTATCTTAACCACTAGGCCAAACACCTGCCCCAAACTTATCTTCTAATTCCATTTCCCACAAAACTTTTGAAGTACCCTCATATATTTTAAGAAGTATCTTGAGGCTTAAAAACAAACTGAAAAATTTTGTAGTTTCCTTAATTAAAATGATAAAGTGCCTTTGGAGAGAAAATACTCAGAGTGTGACTTGTAAATGGATTAGCATCTGGTGACTCTGTGTGAACAAAATAAAAAAAATTGCCTTCGTCATATAGATTTAGAAGGAAAATTCCAAAATGTAACAGTTTTTTGGTAATCCACTTTAGTGAAACTTTAAAATACTGGCATGAAACTTAAAGTCATATGATACAGTTTTTCACTGAGGACAAAAAAACCTTATGGTACCTTTGCAGGGAGGATGAGAAAGAGATGTTTATTAATATAAACTGTGGGCCGGCGCCGCAGCTCCCTTGGCTAGTCCTCTGCCTCCGGCACCGGCACCCCAGGTTCTTGTCCCAGTTGGGGTGCCGGATTCTGTCCCGGTTGCTCCTCTTCCAGTCCAGCTCTCTGCTGTGGCCCGGGAAGGCAGTGGAGGATGGCCCAAGTGCTTGGGCCCTGCACCCACATGGGAGACCAGGAGGAAGCACCTGGCTCCTGGCTAGGATTGGTGCAGCGTGCTGGCCATAGCGGCCATTTTGGGGTGAACCAATGGAAGAAGACCTTTCTCTCTGTCTCTCTCTCACTGTCTAACTCTGCCTGTCAAATATATATATATATATATATATATATATAAAACTGTGGAATTTAGTCCTCTTAAGAATCCTTTTAAGAATCTCTTAAAAAATCTGCAAATATCTATACCCTATTTTATCTCTAAATTGACACTGGTCCTCATACATTAAAATTTATCTCTAAATAGGTCTTCATATATCCACTAGTCTTCTATAAGCATGCAGGAGAACAGAGGCATATATAAGATTTTCTCAGAAAAATCACGCCCCAAAAATTAAAAGGAAAGAGAATAAATATGTTATGGGTTATATGATCATTGCCTGATTCCCATTTGGCCTGATTTCTTTTACGTTTTGCCCATGTAGATGAGGGGCTAACTTTAACCTTCTGAAGCTTTCCTTTCGGGTCAAAAATATTTATAAGCCAAATTCTTAGAGACTATGAATTACTTCTAAGCCTTTATTAAAAAAGGTCACTCAACAGTTTAACCAGAAATTAAATGTAGTTCAGAAGTCTTTATAAGGCTTAGTTCTAACTAGATCATTACAAATGTTTATAAGCAAAAGTGCACCCCAAGAAAAACCATTATGGGTCAAGATACTGCAACCTGAGAGCTACTTGTTTAAAATTATGTAGGGGCTGAGAATTCCATATGAAGAGATCCTAACTTCATTATCTGGATTTAGAAGGATCTTGTATTCCAAAAAATATAACAATACAGAAAGGCAAATCCATTTAAATCCAAGGAAATATTCTAACTTAATATGTCTGACCTAAATCTAATCATTTTTGTCCCAAAGAAGCAATGATTATGGTAGAGGCCCATTAATTAGTAGTCCTTGTTTCCTACCACTATTAGCTCAATGTTCTCCCAAAGGGGTCTTGTGAGGGTTCTTAATTTATGGGGAAAATAATTCTGTGATAAATTCATTTTGTAAAAGGCCAATTAGAGCAAAATTAAACACAAAGGATGGAATCGCATTTCCCAAGCTTATTTGACTTATTTTCTCCCCGGTATCTCACAGGACTAGTGTCCTCATCATCACTCCTTAGCTTGTGGTTTCTGTCTGTCTCAGTGCATCTACTCTGTCCCTTAGACTCAACTGGAAACCACATTAGAAAAGGGTTTCTCCCAGCAGAAATTCCCTTTTCCTTCTCCTTCACTAAATTAATCTTTCAATATTTTGAGCATTTTTGTTGGCTCCTCTCCTCCAGCTCACCTCTGTGGAAGCTGTATCTGGATACAATCAGCCTGGGAGTTCTTCCCCCTCTATGCCTGGCATTTATTTATTTATTTAATCACTATAGAACTTGTAGTCTTGCTTCAAAGAAGTCTTGGGCAATCATGTTTATACACAGGCAACTAAATATGGCCTGCTGCCAATCACTGATGTAAAATATCTTAAATACTGATTTTTGCTTTGTTATAGGTTTAGCTTATGATTCTTAGGAAACATAGATTTCCCCTAAATCTCAATCATATTCTAAAGAAAAAAAATTAAATTTCCATTTTAGAGCAAGACTTTAACAGCCACGAAACAATCCATGAAAATGCTAACTAGACAATTCAGGGGTTTTTCTTTCTCCAAAGACATTTGTCCAACTGATAATCATTTGAAAAGCTTCTGTGATCAAAAAAGCTGGGGAGAAACTATGTACTAAATACTCCTTAAAGTGATCCACAATGCAAATTAGCACATTAAAGTCTGCATTTACTTCTATAATACAGTAAAAAAATAAACCTAGTGCTTCTCAAACTTGTTGAATTGGTGAATATCACTTTACTGATACATCTGTTCTACTCACTTCCAAGACATTCTGTCAGGGGGCCGTGGCTCTGGATTCTGGCACAAGCTGAGTAATTACATCTGCTTTGCAGTTTTTCCTT